GACTCTCCCCCACAGATTTTTTGTAATTCTGGAGCTGTTTGTTGATACTCCAAAGCCGCAGAGCAGAAGAGATAGCGGCACGTTGTGAAACGCTCCAGGAAAGCGCAGGGAAACGGGACAGGGTGCACTGGGGAGGGAGCGGGACAGGAAAGATTTTCCACTTGCAGCCCTGGTAGATGAGAAAGGCCAAGTTCGGGCCTTTCAGACAGTTGCAGGCTAAACTCCGCTCTCGAGAAGACGGCTCCGTTTTTGTACATAGACACAAGCCATGTCGAGACAAAGACTGCCTCGTCCCAGGCAGCCCGTTCTGCCCTTTATCAGGGGATTAGGTGACCATAGAAAAGGATTTGCACGTGCAAACGCAGCATTTGTACCTAATTAAACTTTATCCAGGCTATTAAAAACCTACATATAAAGTCTAGCCAAAGACACCAACATGAAAGATGTAGAAGAAACCTTCTGTGAAGCCACTCAGAGGTTCCCAAACTGCAGCACAGGGGTTCAAAGGAAAGGTCTCCAGAGCCAAGGGCAAAAACTTACATTTCAACATCTTAACAGAGTTAACTGACTTGACACTGCTGCCTTCAGCTGCAAATCAATTTCCTGTCTCATTAAGAATCCCCTTCATTTAATTGCTCTGAGCATTGCTCTGAGGGATGAGTTAAGTGCCGCGGTTTCTGTGCTCGCTAAGGAGAGCAATCTGATTTCACAGGGTCCATCAATAGTAAAAACCGACCCCGACAAGGGTGCTGTCAGGAGTACCAAGAAGGGTGAAATGTTTCGAGACTCCCAAATGAGAGGAGCTTTACAGTTCCGATTTATCCATATTTAACATAACCTTCTACCTGATGTTACGGAGCTACAGACTGCTCCTGGTGTTAGGCTGTCTGGGCTCAATCCAGCACTCAGCTCCGAGTTTGAACCAAGACCAGCTCACGTTTGCAGCAGGACAGATGAAGTGTTGTGCCCTGAGTGGCAGATGCTCTCATATCTTCGCCCAAGGAATCAGCTGGATAACACAGGCATCACTCCCAGGTGAGGTCTGGGGGGGTCTAAACCCCACCTGCTCTAAACCTGCAACGCTACTCCCCAGAAACCCTCTGCTGTGGATATTTCAGTCCAGCTTCACTGCACACAAACAGGGCAGTTTTCTTCTCAGTAACTTTGTTGTACACTATTTTTTTAAGAAAACCAAATGGGAAATGCTGTAATCATACTGCACTTACTGTAATTACGGTTATTTATTGGCTACGGTAGCACGCAGTTCATAAATAAAGATCTTCAGAGACTTTAAACTACCAGCCTGGGGTACCTCTGTGCAGCCTTCAATGCAGTTAGGACTTTGCTTGCTCAGGAGTCCCCCAGCCCTGGACTGTATTTTTCCAAAATGCCACTTGCACGTCCTTGCACAAACAAGGAGCCCGGTGAGAGCGCATCTGCACGGAGCT